CTATTTAGATGTTCTGCCCAAGAAATCCTGCAGTAGAAATCACCTTCCTGAAGAACCTCCGGGGAATAATATTGGATTAGACAAATTTCTTCATCATTGGTTAACAAACTTAAAACTATAGGTTGATGATCACTATCTGATCTGGAGCCAACATTAAATAATCTGACCAAGGGAAATAAATTGGTCAATGTTAAATAATAATCTATCACACTTGCTCCCCACCCACAAGTAAACATGAGTTCACCAGGATAATCATGTGCCATTGAACCATTTAAAATGATTAAATTTAACTTATTGCAAAGACTGCTAAACAAGATCCTGCATAGTTAATGTTCTGATCTTTAGACTGTCTATCATACAATCCACTTTCCCAAGTTTGATAGATAAATAAGGAAACTTGGCTACCCATGCTTCATTATTAGGGCCAATTCTGGCATTTAAATTACCCAGAATCACACGTTTCATTAATTTTTTGCTGGAGTACGAGATGAGGACCTAAGGACCAGTGATGTGATGTTACTGTGACTTCAGTATCCTTGGTCAACCTTTGGCTACTTGCAGTCTCTTGAGAAGTAAAATAATCAGTAATTTTTAATTATCTCTGTTGTAAGTTGTGTAGCCTGGCTTCCTGTGTTAGAGGCTGCATGCCACGTTGTGCATAGCCTCTGCAAGTGAGAACCATTATATATAGTAGCTTGTAACTCTCTTCATTTATTTTAGCATCTATGTGCAAAACAACCATTAATAATTTCCAAGCCTTTATAGACTTTAATCAGTATTTCCCACTGGTACCTTAATATTTGTTGTAGTAACGGTGTTATCTTCTAAGGTCAGGGTTAGTACAACCCTTTTACTTTCTACTTACTAAAATAGCCTTTTTTGACGTAAAATTGGCCACAAATATAAAAAATAAAGTATTATCCAGAGGAGCTGTGGGGAGGCTCAGCTTCTCACACTGCTATCTTAACCGGAAGTTGGCTGCCTGATTATTTGCTTTGGTGGGACTAGGTAAGGAGCTGTGGTTACCTTATGTCCTAGGCAGCAATAAGGAGAATTTATTCAGATTTTTGCAACGCCAAGAAATCTTCCCCAGCTGAATCTATGCACGCTTTACAAGTTTTACACCTTAGCTCCTTACACTTCATCATCTTCCTCTGAGAATTCTGAATGCCATGAGAGTACATAGGTTTTCATGAAGCGAAGGAGAAGCGTCATAAATGGGCTGGTTAGTTCAGTTGGTTAGCATGTGGTGCTAATCAACACTGCCAACTGGAGCATCTTTGCCAGGCCAAACAGAATCTTTTCCAGCACTCTCCTACGGTGTGAATCCAAGAGCAGGGAG